AGAAAAAGTGTAAAGACTTTAATTTTATTCCTATAATTTCTGATCAGTTCTTTGGAAAATTAAAAGTAAACTCTCTGTAACTCTCACTCCATATTGCCTCAACTCTCACATCATATTGCCTCAAAAAAAAATAGGAAACAGCAGATAGTACGAATTATAAACTCTGCTAATATTTTATGTCTTATTGAATTTATATATGGCCTCTAAATAGCATTTGCTAAAGGTAGGACTAGGGGTTTAAAATACAGAACTGTATGGCGAACATAACAAAATTGATATACCCATCATTCAAAACTTACAAATACTAATATTGTAATATTTATTTCTGATCCTTTTTTAAAATAAAAGAAATGAAACATTTTTGCTGGAGTTGCTATCACGTTTTTACTCTTCTCCAGATCCATTCTCCTCCTCTCCTAGAGGTAACCAATTTTATAAATTTGATACATATTCTTCCAATCCATTAATTTTTATGTTTTATTACAGATATATGTATTCATAAGTATAGAATATACTTGTATGTATGTGTGTGTATATAAATTATGCATTTTTAAAGAAACCTTGTTTTTAAGATCTGATCACATTGATACATATAAATCTAATTCATTCGTGTTAACTTCTAAATAGTATCTTACTATGCGACAATTTATGAATCCATTCTTCTATTCATTGTCATTTTGATTATTTCCAATTTTTTGCATTCTAAAAAATGACAATAAATATCCTGGTGCATATATCCTTATACATATGTGTGAGAATATCTTCTGTATATTAAAAAGAACCTAGAAACAATGATATCCCCGAGGGATAAAAAAAAAAAATCCTAATTTCTAAATATCATTCCACAGTAAAGGGAATCAGGGCTTTTTAAAGAAATGGCCAGTTCCAGGTATAGGGCAAAGAAAATTTAAGGTGAACCTGGAAAATATTTCTTGCCAGAAAGTAAGGAAGCACTTAGAGAATTACGGGGATGTGTTTAAAAAATTAAAATTAAAAAAAAAGCCAGTTTAAAAAAGCTTTCGTTAGCCAGATCTAAGCTTAAAAAAAAGTGAAAGATTCTAATGCATTACACAATAATAACAATAATAAAAGAATCCTCAAGTTCACAGTGATATTTTTAAAAAGAGGGAAATAAAGTTCTTCTTCCCAGAAAAATAAAATAGAAGCAATGATTGAATTAGAAAAATCACAATTTTGAAATTGATTCAGGCAAAGATCATCAATGAATGCTAAAACCACTGAGAAAAAGGTTTTGAGAACAGGACAGGCACATGATCTGGAATTATCACACCACAGATTACTTACTATTTTAATTGTAAAAGGGAAAAGGTATCTTTACAATTTGCCCTATTTTAGTGAGGCAGAACTTCTTTTCATGTTTATCGGCTATATATAGGTCTCCTCTAACGCTTACACTCTTTGCCTATTTTTCTGTTGGCTGTTTGTGTTTTACTAACTTATAGAAATTCTTCACATATTTTGTACATTGTAATGCAAGTATCTTTACTGAGTCTGGGACTTATTTATGAGAAATTTTGTATAACAAATTTTTTTATTTTGATATAGTCAAATATCTTAATCTCTTTATTATTTGTGCATTTTAGGGCAAATTTAATACATCCTTCCTTACCCTCGGGGTCATAAAGATAGCCTTCTATATTTTCTTATGAAGGTTGGATTCTATTCAGCTTGTTTATCTAAGGAGATGAACAGTGAGTACTGAAACTGTTAGAAAATACAAGCCATTGTAGTAGCCTCCTTCTATCAATGTTAATTTTTGGTCCTAAAAGGGCTTACAGTTTTATGTGAAGTCTCCTTTCAACAGCATAAATAATTGAGAGTTGCTATTTAAAACAATATGATAAAGTTATAGTTTCTGGATATTAGAAAAAGAGAAAAGAGTAAGTCATATAATCTTACATGAGTGAACAAGACTTCCCTCCTTAGCTCTTCAGAACTGTCATTTGGAGTCCAAGCTTCAGCAAACTGCAGGAAATCCCATTTTTCCTTATCACCTTCCTCAGCCTGAATTTTTTCCTTTCTACCATTCAATGTGCTGCCTGTAACCTGAGCCTGTAAGATGAAAAAGCACATGAATTTTACAACAGTTCACTTCACAGATGACATTCACTAAGTAGTAACTTGATTTTGCATTTAAATCACAAGGTATTCACTAAGAAAATCTTATTGTTCCAACATATCATGGCCTTTAGTGATATAATTGCCTTAGTCCATTTTCTGTTGCTTACAATAGAATACCTGAAACTGGGTAATTTATAAAGAAAAAGAATTTATTTCTTATAGTTATAGAGGCTGAGAAGTCAAGGTAAAGGGGCTGCATTTGGTGAGGGCCTTCTTGATGGTGGGGACTCTTTGCAGAGTTCTGAGGTATTACAGGAATCACAGGGTGAGGCAGCTGAGCTAGGATCCTAGTTGAGGTCTCTCTTCCTCTTCTTATAAAGCTTTCAGTCCCATTCCCATGATAGCCCATTAGTCCATGAATCCATGAATGGACTAATCCATTGATGAAGACAGAGCCTTTATGACCCAATCACCTCTTAGAGGCCTACCTCTCAAAACTGCCACATTGGAGATTAAGTTTCAAGATGAGTTTCAGAGAGGAAAAACATTCAAACTACAGCAATAATTATTCCAAATTATAACCAAATTACCAAGTCAATCATTCCTATGCTTAGGAATTGGGGTAGAGGTCACAAGATTGTCTTAGCTGAAGATGGGATAAATCAGAAACATCAACTATAGTTGAACAGTAATAGTCAGAAGGTAAAAACCTCCCTTTTAAAAGCTCTGTATTCCTGCTCAGAGGGAGGACATTGGCATTTTAAGATGGGAATCTGCCAACCTCCTCATTTGCTGGCAAATTAATAAACTTCTCTTTCCTCCTCAAAGCATTTGTCCTGGTTTTTCTGATGTGGCCTTGGGGACAAGTGCCGAGCTTTAAGTAACAAAGTGACTATTTGATAAGGAGATTAGTTTGGATGTGATCCACAGATTTAATCAGCCATCTCAACAAAAGCCAGGGGTAGAGATGGAACTATACTGTACTAACAGAAACACTATCAGCTGGGACTAAAGAAAACAGAGACAATGGGATAAAATGAAGAAAGACTATAAGACTTCTTAGATCATACAGGATTGGACCATAGAATTATTTAGCTGCTATTCTTTTTTTTTTTTTTTTTGACACAGAGTCTCGGCTCTGTCGTCCTGGGTAGAGTGCAGTAGCATCATCATAGCTGACTGCAACCTCAAACTCCTGGGCTCAAGCGATCCTCCTGCCTCAGCCTCGCAAGTAGCTGGGACTACAGGCATGTGCCACCACACCCAGCTAATTTTTCTATTTTTAGTAGAGACAGGGTCTTGCTTTTGCTCAGGCTGATCTTGAACTCAAGCAATCCTCCCACTTCGGCCTCCCAGAGTGCTAGGATTATAGGCATTAGCCACCGAGCCAAGGTAATGCTATTCTTCAAGACAAGGGAAGAAGGACTTCAAGGGTGATTCAGAGCTGCCACTCCTGCCACAGGCCCAGATTGCAGAAGGCTGGGGGGAAGGTCTGTTTCTACCTCAATTTCAAAGGGTATGCTGAATGCACAGTGGAACTGCTGGGGTGGGGCTGCCCAGGGTAACCTGGGATTATGATCCCCACCCCCACAGAGAGCTATACCAGGGGTGTGGCCACAAAAGAGAGCCAGTCCAGGTAGTATCTAGCCAAGCTATGGGGGTGACACTGGCACCCTCATAGGTCCAGAAGCCATCCTGATGGATGTGGAAGGCAGGTCTACCACTCCAGTGGGCCTGGAGAGCAAAGTATGGAGTCAAAGAGGATTATTCTTGAGCCTTAATATTTTACACAGTTTTCCCTGCTAGATTTTGGACTATATACCCTCTTCTTTCCTATATCTCCCTTTTGGATTAGGAATGCCTATCCTATGCCTGTCCATAGTTGTATTTTAGAAACATATAACTTGTTTGGTTTTACAGGTCCACAGCTGGAGAGGAATTTTGACTCAGGATGAGTCTCACCTATATTGAATTTAGACAGTATTTAGATGAGACTTTGGACTTTAGGGTTAATATTTGAATGAGTTAAGACTTTCAGGGCTGTTGGGATGGAACGAATGTATTTTGCAAGTGAGAAGGACACAGATTTTGGGGGGCTAGGGAGTGAAATACAATGGACTGAATGTTTGTGTCTACTCAAAATTCATATTCTGAAATCCTAACTCCCAATGTGAAGGTATTAGGAGTTGGGACCTTTGGGGGGTGATTAGATCATGAAGGTGGAGCCCTCATGTAAGGGATTAGTGCCCTTATAAAAGGGACCCCAGAGAGCTCTTTTGTGGTCTTTCTACCATGCGGTGATATAAGAAGTCAGCAGTCTGCAGTATGGAAGAGGGTCCTCACCAGAACCACCATGCTGGCACTCTAATCTCAGACTTTTAACCTCCAGAAGTGTGAGACATAAATTTCTATTGTTTATAAGCCACCTAGTCTATGGTACTTGGTTACAGCAGCCCAAACTAAGAAAAAAATCTTCTAATCCACAGTCAATTCCTTTCTATAAACATCTCTCAAGGTTGGGGAGAAGAAGAGACAGCTGACAGGACAGAGGAAGCTACATCATTCCTACATTTTCTTGAGTCTGGGTACAAGCTGTCTTCTGTCCAACATGAGTTGGGAATTCAAGAATCCTTCTGGAAAGGGTTTATTTTCAGGTTACAAAAAGGATTTGGGGCTTGAAACATTATGTTTCTTTGCTAGCTGACCCTATCCTTTTATCTTCTTAAGTAGTAGAAGGGCTAGGAAGATAATACGAATACATGGAAATTCATGCCTCTATTACAGAGGACAACAGGTATGGTACTGTTAATTGAAGCCTTTTCTGAACTTGGTCTCTACGATCATCATTATTTTGGTGTACTTAAGTATCTTTTACCTGGGGAAAACACTAAACTCAGCCTCTTAACTCACATAGGCCCAGTTAAGGATTATGTGCATCATAATGAATAAGTTGCTAACTTGGTTTAAGTTCAAGCTTTACCTTGCGATTCAACATTCCCCACATAAGGGTGTCTAGAGTCCCATTTGCAACAAGGTAGTGAATATTCACAGAACTGCACTGTCCAATTCGGTGAGCACGGTCTTCTGCTTGCTTTATATGTCCAGGGTCCCAATACAACTCAGCAAATACAACATGACTTGCGGCAGTAAATGTTAATCCCTAAGTGAAATAAAGTGAAGAAATTGAGATGCAAATAAATTGAGAATGTATCATAGAGCCATATATAGTAAAGTCTTTCTGAATATGTTAAATGGTAAAAAGAACACTGAAGGGTTTAAAAACAAATTAGTCATTCATTTTAGGCAAGATTAAGAAGATTTAATTCATGAAAGGCAAATGAAGACAGCTTAATGCAAGATAGCCAGGTGAACTACAAAAAACATATATAAAAGATATTTCAGTATTTCAAAGTCAGCTTGATGGACTATATAAACTAAATCACTTTATCCTCTGATGAAGACTGGATTCACATTACCATTGGAAAATCTAATAAAATACATTATAAATGAGAATATAATTCCTAACACATGGTATCCATAGCAACTGGGCAGAGAGCATTGACATCCACTTCATGTAATTCATATTGCCATGCTATAAAACAAGAAAATCACATCTCTGGTCATAGTCTTTTCTTCCTGTAAAATTTCTCATGTTGTATCCTGAAGACCCTGAAGTTTATTGCCTTATGTCTCAATATATATAATACAATTGCATTTTTTTGTTCAATTGTTTTTTCATGAGTTTTTCATAACCAAAATATGAAATAATATAAATATCCTCAAATGAAAAATGAGTCAAAAAATGCACGACTTTGAAGTGGTAGGCTGAATGAAATGTGAACATGCTTATGTTATTGCCATATAATAGTAAATGATGTTAGGTAGTCAACAGAACTATCATCTTTTGGTAACATCTTCTAATTCATGCTGTTGTTCTCATGCACTGGAACTTCTGTGAGTGAGTGACTTTTGTGACTGATATGCTATTATTTTGATACATTGTTTTAACTTAAAATATTTATATATCTCATAACAAAGTCATATTAGCATTAATTAAATGATGGCACTAATTCTGAAGCTGAAAAATTCACTGAAATTCAGTTACTTTGGAAAAGAAGTTAGAAGTAATAAAAACATGAACAGAGCCAAACAACTATAATGGTAAACCATGCAGTTATTAGGAACAAAATGTCATAAAATATTAGAGATAATGCTGAAAAAATAAGAAGTAGTATTTAAAGAGGGACATCTTTAAGCTTATAAAAAGCATCATATGACTACACAAGCATAAAGGGAAAATATGCTGGCAAGATCAACATTACTCTAAGAAGTTGCTAAACTATAATGTGAGATTCACAGCAAGAATAAAGACCTTTCTATTTTCTGTTATTCCTATGAAGATATTAATATTCAAATATATGAGTCTTAAATTACATGAGCTCTTCAGGAATATAGCCTTGAATAAAATGTGAGTGCCCTGTATATTCTTTATTTCAAAGAGTCATTTTTTTTTTTTTTAATTTTTGAGTTTCAAAAAGTCCTAGACTCTCCTGTGTCTGGCTTTCTCCTACTTATCACCTCCCCCTTCTATGAGCACTCCATTACCAATTTCAAGCTCTTTGTGATGATAGTCTCTATAGCTGGAATATTCTAACAGATATAAAACTCAGATTATTGGAGCTTAATCCAACATGAGGGAAGTGTTGACACAACCCTCTTTTTTGTTAGAACTCTTAGTGAGTTCTAGAACTGATTCATCCTCATGGAGTTTCCCTATATATACAATTTTATATATATCAATTAGCTGGATAAAGGCATATCTTTGGCATATACCAGGTTGGTCGCATAGCAGTATGTGTAATTATTAATACTTTTCCTTATGTTAAGTATCCTGGCTTAGACATTTACATCAAAATATTTTAGAATGTTAGCAGAAAAAAAGTCCAGAAGGAGCCCTTCTTACATACAGTGTGGCAGAGACTGCCACTGATTTCCCTAATATCTCTTCTCTTATTCCTTTGCAATATAACACCTGATTTTTAGAGGGGATACCTGGAATAAGGGCTACTCTTCTCAGTTTCCCTTGAAGTTAGGTGTGGCCATGTTACTACTGCAGGCCAATGAGATGTGGTGTGCCTTTATCCAGGCAGCTGCTTGGCCTACAGGTATGATGGAGGAGCTCTAGCAGCCCCCTTAGATAAGGGCTCCTTGCTAGGAGTGATAAAGCAGAAAGCCAGAAGGGCATGGGTCTAAGGACTTCATGGAACCACCATGCTAGGCTTGGACTGTCTACATGAGAGAATGAAGCCTTGTATATTTAAGTCACTCTAAGTTTGAGTTTTCATTTACTTGCAGTAAATGAAAAGAAAACTTAATCCTAAAGGGCAAACCACAGGCACTACATAAAAAGTCCTGAGACAGAGGAGTTCCTTTCCCTCAGGCCACCTTGCCTCACAGATCCTGCTGCAACAAAACCAAGTAAGATAAGGATCATAAGAAAGGCAGGGAAGAAGTCTATGCAAATTCAAAGGAAGGAAAAAAGGTCATGGAAAAGTATTATAATCAAATTAGCTATATTCTTCTGGAAAATTCTTTCCCTGAAAATTTAGGAAGATTTGAGTCAAAGATGTCGAGGCCTCTTCCTATTATACTTCCCAGCACTTGCTGAAGTAGAATAAATATTTATTACACTAGACACCCACATATAAAGTTACAAGTTTATAAACCAAAATTATGGGTAATTTTTTACAATTCCAATGACACTGCATTATCAAATTTAGACCTAAAATTTCTTACCTGACCAGCAGCCTGAATGCTTAAGATAGCCACACGAGTATTAGGATCCTTTTGAAACTGATTAACCAGATGTATTCTTTCTGAAGATGAAACACTTCCATCTATCCTAATATAACGAGTCTAGCATCAACAAAGGAAATGGCAAAATCAGGACAAACCCCTATATACCCATCTTATTTTATATATTTTACAGCTTATTATTATAGTCACATAAAAAAATGAAAATTGGTTAAGATGACAGATTGGTAAATGTTATACAAGATTCTTAATCAAGTTTCTTAATAGCTTCTTATAACAATTTCTTATTTTTTTAATCTTTTAAGCTACTCGAGGGTAGAGTCTATGTCTAATTCATCTTTATCTCATCAATGCCATGAGCAATGCCTTGTATATAGCAAAAGCCCACAAATCTTTTTGAATTAAGCTAATGCTGCCTTCAGTAAAATTCTATGTAAATTGATATTCAAATTTTAAATGATGGATCAGACTAACTTTAAAGTTATAGGATCACTAATTCCAAAGTAAAAATAAACCAGACATGGAGAAAAATGATTCTGCCTAAATATTAAGGATTCATAAAGAGTAGTGCATTTATTTCTGAAATATCCCAAATGTTAACTGGGAAAATAGAACTTTTAATCTCTCATTTGAGTTCTTTTTTTCATATTATTAAACTTAAAAAATATATGTTATATGGTCATCTCCATTGAGATGGGGAACTGAAACACCCACATGCATCTTTAAAAAGTACGGAAACAGTAGGTGTTAAACTGAACAGTGTTGTCTTTAAGAATGACTTGAGAAAAGGGAGCAATCAGTGAGTGTTAGAATAGCTAAAAAGAACTCTTATTCAACTTCTAACAACAATTGTAAGTCCTAAATTTCAAACAATCTCATTCATATATGTGCATCTATAGAAAACATGGCCTTAAATAGTTGAGACTTACGAATATTCACTTTTATAAGAGAATATCCAAGTTAATCATTAAATATAATAGAATACCACTTATTAACTTTCTGTCTTCACAAAGCAAATATAAATTGACCAATTATGCATTTAGTATCTATTAAAGAAGATTATAAAATACTCTGAGGGTCTTTCTAAAGAAAATACATTGTTAAGGTAAGAAGAGTTTGGGAGAAATTCATTTCCAACTCCATGAATACTGACATTTTTAACTCTTAGTAAAGCTACATGGGATTCTAAACGTATCAATAAAATAGACGAGGGAAAAAGAAACAGATTGCTACACTTGGAATAGATTCTAGTAGTTTTAAGGTATAATATTATCAGAATTAGAAACTATTATGAATCTAATTTTGTTGCTCAGTCTTTAAAAGTTATTTCGAAGGTTAATTAACTCTTTCTTAGAGGGTGTTTTTCAGCTATTATACGATAACCAATGAGAAAGCACTTTTTAATGTATAGCACTTTATTACATTATGTTATCATAAATCTGTCTGTAAAGGAAATACTAGAATTATTTCTTTGATAATATAAATAAACACATTAGCTAATGCTCAAACAATGTAAAATAAGTTTTAAAGTTTGATAGAAAAAAATTGAAGATGCTGTCACTGACAGGACTCTTGGAAATCAAGGTGGACTTAAGCAAATGTAGTAAGGCCAGTTGGTTTAGTGGAACTAACCTGATAAATGAGTTGGGCTACATGTTTCAAATTCATCTAAACTATATTTTAATAATCATTTTCTATAGACTATTCTGCTGGAAGTTTAAAAGGTATAACTGCAGTTGGGCACTAAAATTGGCTGAATTCATTCTTTGTTTCCCCTCTATGTCACCCACATTCAAAGGCTGCCATGCAGATAAATAAAAATTTTAACTTGCAACAGCTTACACCACTCTCAAACAGTATACCCAGGAATAAAAACAGAATTCACATTATTGAATATCATGGTAGTATATTTTTAATAAATCCAGATAATCTGATCAGTGGAAAATTATGAGATTGGTTAAAAAAAGAGAGAGAAGAAAAATTTAATAGTCTATCATAATAATAATATATTAGTATAATTTGCAAGCAAAATATCTAATGATTTATATATCATTATCTAAAGAAAGCCAAAAAAACCCCTCAACTATGAGACTATAATTGATGTTCTGTATAGAAAATACCTGCATTCTTAAAAGTATTTTATAGAAAAATGGCAACATACCTTGTATTCGATGACTGCTTCTGTGCAAGCTTGGAGCATATTTAAATGGTAAGCAAAAACCAGAAATTTAAGTGAATCATTCTGAAGCATCATCTTAATATAATCCTTTACAGCACCTGCCTAAATATTAAAAGTTAAACCTTATTAATGTCATAAAAATATTTATTAAAAAACAAGTCACTTTTAATAAAGTAAGAAAAATGGCTTGAAAATCATTAAGTTTCTACGAACTTCTAGCCGATTTGTTCTCTAGGTAGACCAAAGAGGCAGAAGCCCAATGTAAGGGAATATGGAAGAAGAGGGACAAGAGGGGAAAAAAAACCTGAAAGGCAAATTGAGAACAAGACGAGAATTAGAAGGAAAAAAAAAAAAAAAAGACAAGAAAAGAGTCTCAATGGAAAGCAGGCTATGGCCAAGAAAAGGTTGGCAGTTTTCTTTAGAAGGCGATTTTCAAAAAAGTTTATATAGAAGACTAAGTAGAATAGAGTTAAGAAGAAAACGGAAGGCAAAAAAAAAAAAAATCAGATGAATAGTACTTTTTAAAGGGAAGACTGGAAAAGAATAAGTAATCTGGGACTAAGGCTTAAGGTTTAAGGAAAATTGGTTTATTAATTTTTTTACCATAAGAAACTTAGGTAAACTTACAAATAGGTAAAGGAGTAGATAGGCTAAGAGAAATGGAAAATGAAGGTATTTAGCTTGTCTGTGGGATAGAGAAGCTTCCAGAAGAGGCTGGGGTGAGGGATCAAGACATCAAGAGTGAGGTCTAAGAGAACAGGGGGAGATATATTAATAGAAAAATTGTGAGATAGAAGGAAGAAAATCAAGAAAGTTCAGATTGAGTAGGCTTTTCATAGTTAACTTGAGGCCAAATTGCCTATTAAGAGTAACAAATCATTTTGGGATGAATTAAATAGGAATTAAAATTAAAGATGATAGCATGAATTGAATTTAAAACATGAATATAATATCTCAACTGTTCAAAACTGGTTATTTAGAAATTTTGCAAAAAGATGGTAAGCTGAACATATTTACCCTGTTCTCTCTCAATGCTATGTTTAAATAATAGTAAAATGAATAGGGACAAAGAGAATTGGAGAAAGGTCAAGAGCAACAAAACTTTGGAAGCTAGTAAGTACATGATGCCTGGTAACTGATTAACCAATCTGACATACCCTAAGCTGGCAATAGGGAAAGTGGACAAACACCTAGTTTGTACTGTAGTCATCTAAAAAGGCCTAGGAAATGGCACTTCTGAAATGGGGATAGGAATGTGGCTAGAACAGCAGGATTTACCAAAAGAATGCTTAAGTAATTGATTACATACAACACTGCTCCATATCTTCTCTCTACTCATTCTGTATAGCAGGTAACTACCCTAACCATCCTGGTAGAAAACTAGAGACTTATTCTCTGGAGAGGGTACAATAGAGGGTATTTGGATAGAGGAATCCCATATTGATGGTAGGTGTATCCTACAAAACTCATGGGGATTAAATGAAAGTTATATAATCAATGCTGAGATCTGCCCCTCTCTCTCTTAGCCTTCTTACCCCATATATATCCGCAAACAAACAGGCTTATGCTCTTTAAGCAGAACAGCAGAATCATATAAAATGATTATTTTTGAGGGAATGTGACAAGCCAAAAAGAAAAAACTAGATACTGATATCAGGTTTCCCGATAAAACATCCCACTCAGATCATCCTTTATTGAAGGTTATAGTCTATAAGCCATATCCATGCACAGTTTCCAGTCACCATTTAGTGTCTTTCTTGTAAATATAAACAAACAACCAAAGATCACCATACATTAGTAGAAAGAAACCTACATGAATAGATCAAATATGCAGAGAGAAGAAAACTAGAAGAGGTTGCATTTATGAAACAAGATCAGTATGCTACAAAAAAGGAACACAGAGAGGGAAAAATGTACTCTCAGAAATAAAAAATACAATACCAGTAAGTTAAAATTTACTGGTTATTAAGCTGAGGAAATCTCCCAGAAGTAGATAGAAAATAATAGAAAACATATAAAAATATAAGATAATTAGGGGACAGGCCATGAAAACAATATATAAATACTAAAATCCCAGAAAACAATATAGAGAAAACAGAGGAAATAAAATAATCAAAGAAATAAAGTTATACGGGAACTTTTTTTTGTTTGTTTTTTTTCTTCAGAATCTTCTTTATTCATCATCTAACCAACAGAGCTGGTCAGCTTGAACCCAAACAAACTAAAACCACCTCAAAAGGCCCACCTCATTACAACACATCAGGGCAAAACCAGAAGTGGGGACAGAGTTTGGCCTCAGTTCTTTTCAGAGAAAACCAATCATGTATTTACACACAGGTGCCTCATGACAAACTGATTGGCAGTGCATCATAGGCACGAATCAAGCCAGTGTGGGAATCCTTGTCATTCATACAACCGCCTCTTCCTCAGCCATAAACAAGCTCTTGCTTTTTAGAGGGGAGGGTGATCAGTGGGTTATCTTGAGTGATGGCGCCATTTGTTTACTCAGAACTTTGATGGGGAGGTGACAACTTATTTTCTCCTTGAATCTGTGATGCAATAGCCTGTCAGAATATCTAAAACATGTCCTAGAAGACAGGTAGGTGGCAGTGGTTGACTTAATAAAGGGTTTATAGGGTAATTGTGTAGGGCCCTTTAATATTTAATCCTATTGTTTTTCAGAAACCCTTTGTACCTGGGCTCCAGAGGCCTGTGAGTAAGGTGCCTCTCGGAGCGGTCACCCAGGGAAGGAAGGAGGGTGGGGAAGAGGGTCTGGGGGAGATGCAGGGGACAGAAATCAGCTGAAACACTCCATGCTGGTTCTGACTCGCTCCATCTCGTGCAGGAAGCTGTAGAACTGAGGCAAGGTTAATTCTATATATAAATTTTCAGTTTGATTTCCTTTCTTAACCACCAAATTTAATTGTAAAAATATACTTCCCACTTTCTCCAATTCGCTGCTCCCAGATGTCACTCCAAATTTCGACTGCATATCTATGAGCTGGTTAATCATCAGAGTCTGACCTATGGCCCATCGGGCAAGGGTGGGGGCATTCTGCTTCCACTTTTCAGAAAAGTAAGTGGCTTTTTCCTTACTAAGACCCAGAGTTATAAAATCAGCCTGGACCTGCTCAGCTGTAAGACTCTTCTTCAGTGCACCATTTGGAAGCAGGAGGAGGCTTTTCACAATGCTTCTGAGGGGACCAAGACTGATCTGATTGGTGGTGGCAAATTCAGAGAGCTGAGCCAGAAACCTTTCTACCTCTTTTGGCTCAGTTAGGAAGTGGAAAAGCACTTCTGTCAGGGCTGAGGAACTGCTGCGCGGCCAGCTGGTTCAGCTGCTGCTTGTCGCAGCCCTCGGCCTGAGGCACGGGGTCCTGTGTGCAGTGCAGGCGGCCCATGATGCCCGCCCTGGTCCCGCCGGCCCGCCGCGGCAGCCGCCCTGCTCAGCTTCCTCGTTATACAGGAACTTAAGAGCATGAGTTTCCAAAATGAAAAATGGAAAAGACTCACTAAGTATCCTTCACAGTGAATGAAAATGGACCCATAGCAGGGCCCATCATCATGAAATTTTAGAAGACTGGGGACAAAGAAATGATTCTATAAGTTTCCAGAAAGAGGAAGAAAAGAATTCATGAAATTAAAACAGAATAAAAATTTTGAACTGTACTGGATTTCTCAACACCAATACTAGAAATTCTGAGAGAAAATGATTTCTAAAAATTTTATATCCAGCCAATTAAAAATCAGGTATAAAGGTAGACTAAAAGATATTTTCAAATGTGCAACAAACTCAAATAATATACCTCCAAATGTATCCTTTCTTGGGAAGCTACTGAAGAATGTGCTCTAGCAAAACAAGAGAGTAAACAAAGAAAGAAAATAGTATCAAAGAAAGAAGTGATTCAACACAGGGACAAATAAAGAAAATCTCTAGGACGAGAGCTCTGCAGTGGACCTAAAGAGCAATAGTCCACACTGAAGCTGTTCAGAAGGCTCCAGGGAAAATTTCTTTAAGAAGATGAAATTAATATAATGCCTAATATTTAAAGATATCAGGAGGAAGATTAAATAACCAGGAGAAACCCTGAGGATGAACTTCTGAGAAGCCAATTGATGACACCTAAAATTACAAAGCATGCAGTAATATATACTAAGTAGCGATAGAAGCATGGTGTTGAGGAATTTGAAGTAAATACTAAAAAAAAAAAGGAAATTAGCTAAAAGAATACAAAGTGTTTTGCCTCTAGGGAATTAGGTTAGGGGACTGTTATTTTTTGGTGTAGCTATTTCTGGTCATTAAACTATGATACTATGTAGCTTTGGTAATAATAAAAAAAATTTTAAATGTGGGCATTTCAAAACTAAAAAATACCTATCTAAAATTCATGCATATGACTGTAAAGTCACAAGACTGATTATGCAAGCCTCATTTTGCAAGTCTAAATTTTCTAAACAACAGAAATTCATCCTACGATGAGACTGGAAGCCGTTAAGAACTTTAGCCTTGGATTTCAGTGCTTCAGAGAGTGGAAATGAAGCCCTCTCAAAACAAGGAGCTATAAATTCTGGATATGTTGTCATAGCAACTGAACCACTTTAATAAAGTGCATGTTTGCCTAAAGAGCTATATTTACTGTGATAAGCCTTTCAAAATGTACATGTCAAGTTGGAGTATTTTAGGGTACATTCATTACTATCTGGTCTCCACTTACCAACTACACAATTGCTGTACCTCTAGTTTCAGATGCATTCCCCTTCCTCTTTCCAAGTGAGCTATATCTGCCGGAGTCCCCTCAACTGATACCACCCCCTCCTCATCACAACCAGAGCTGCTAATACCAAAGTTCAAGCCCCCTGCTCCCTATTCCTTCCCACTACTGCTTCAGAAAGGCTTATGGTTACTAATAATATTATAAAGTTCAATTACATAACTGGTTAAACAGGTTCTTAGAACTAACCTAGCAACTTAACCATAATTTGTGATGTTGCCTCATGGGAGAAAATGTGTTTAGAGTATTGAAATATCTATGTAACAAATGAACTTTCAGGATTATCTTAGGTTCTTAAGTTAGGGATTATATAGGTTTGCATTTAAAATGTACTATACATGCATTTTAACTATCTTGATTTTATTCTAGCTAAAACTGTCACTGCACTGTCAGATTTTAAATCATCTGAATAGGAATTTGCTTCCAAATTATCTTAAGTGCATAGCATGTGGAATGGCAGGTTCTGATAATGATCAGCATCTTGGTTATGCTGGTTCGCATTTTGCAGAAGTTGCAGAAAATACATACGTTTAAAACTTTATTTTACTTTACTGGAATTGGTCTATTAGTAATGGGTCTGTTAGTTGAAGGTCTAATTTAAATAATTAATGAAGACCACACACTAAATATTATGTACAGAAATACAGAAATGAAAAGAATATTGTTGTAATATTCTTTTTTCAGTGAAGAGGTACACATCATACTTTTTGAAGTAAAAGCTGTTAAAGAAAAACTGCACTAAACACCTGATGAAAGTTACTTAAATTGTCAGCTTTTAATCAAATAATAAGAGTGAGAAAAGAAGAATGGAAAAAAAAACAAACATCAAACCTATCTAGGGCAAAGACTCTCCTTTGACCAAACATTAGTTATGCTCTTCTGAGTCCCCTTCTCAACAAGCCTTCACCTTGGCCTGCCCTGTCCATCCTGTCCTTGCCAGGCCTGCATAGCCCAGTCTTGGTGAGAATCCTGCTAACTCAGTTTAGCCAGAATCCCCCTCCCTTGATATCTGATCAAGTTCCTCATCCATCGACCACCTCAATCTACTCATTGGCTATAAACCCCCACTTGTCCTTGTTGTATTTGGAATTGAGCCCAATCTCTCGTCCCTATTGCAACAGAATTGACCCTTAGCATTTCCATTTCCCCTGCAAGTGATTCTAACAAATCAGATATCTGAGAAGTGAGCTGGGGGCTTCAAAAAACATCCTCACTGACAAAAGGACTCTTAGGAACACTTTCCCTTGCTTTGAACATTATGGCCTGCACTTGATATCTGATATCCAGGCACTGCAGCAGTCATCTTGGGGCTGTCGTGGGAGCTGCTGAGGGCAAGCGGGGAACTGGGGAAGCAAGAGCAGAAAGAAAGACTCTCTTTCTCTGGTTTAAAAATAGCTTTACTGACATGTAATTCACATATCTTAAAATTCATCCTTTTAAAGTATACAATTCAATGGCTTTTAGTATATTCACAGAGTTGTGTATCCATCACAACAATCAATTTTGGGACATTGTCATTACCTTAAAGAGAATTCCTTCACCTCTCAGGTATTACCCCTCAGTTACCTCATCACCCCCAGCTCTAGGCAAACACTAATCCACTTTCTGTCTCTGTGGATTTGACTATTTTGGGCATTTCATATAAATGGCATCATACTACATGTGTTTTTCGTGACTGGCTTCTTTAACTTAGCATAATGGTTGACAATCCATGTTATAGCATGCATGAATACTTCATTTCTTTTTTAATGCCAAATAATATTCCATTGTATGAATGTATGCATTTTAATCCATTTATCGATTATTATCTCTCTACTTTTCTTGTTTTTATTCATTTATCTAGCTCACCTTATACTATTTCTTATTGACTTATTTATTTTGTGATAGTTGATTTACCTTTTATCCTTTAAAATTATAGGTAAGGGAAAGCAAAGTATCAAAGCAAAGGAGAATATGCATTGCTTATTCACCCCCTACCTGTCCTCCACAGCCCACCACAAAAGAAAGGCAAGAAATTTGTCTTCCACTACCCCTTCCCCCTTGCCCATGGTTCTTAATTTAGAAACTATTTCATCAATCTGAAAAAGGATTTTCAAATCTGATAGAAGATTTTCAAACCTTCAGGGGAAGACTGGCAGTTCCATACTGTAGTGTCAGGGCTTTGGACATGTTTACAGAGACCCATACCAAAATTTTCCCATAGAAAAGAATAGTTCCACTTCAAAAGATGGTTCAGCTGAACTATCAAAAGTGTTATTTTCATATCTCAAAGCATGTTTTATTTCCTCATGAATATATCTGTAAATAGAAATCTAACACCTCTAATACATTTAATCTTTTGACACTGACCAAGTTCCACACACAGTGCATTAAAAAGTAGATGGGATACAATACCCTGAGAAGGGAGCAACTCCAATTTAATGTCTTAACCAGTACAATTTTACTAAAGAACCTGGGATTCTAAATCATTCCATAAACTTTTTGGAACAAGTTATAATAAAGCAAGCATTCAAAATGATTCAATCTAATCTAATCTAATCTATCAATTTGGCAAGAATAGATGAAAAAGAACATCCCCATGAATGATATAACTCCATTGAGTTTACCCAAATTTTGAAAAAGTTAGAAAGTAAAGCCAATAGTATTATGGACTTTAAAAAATCCATAAAAATCATTGATCAAAACAGTTAATCTAATTATTTTAAAACTGAATTCAATTTTATAAACCATTCTTGATTTCTAAACTCCATCCAGTAGTCATGTTAATAAGGTAATCAACTTTGTACTACTAAAGTATAAACATGAATAAACCTTATTTGGTTGTTAAAAATAGTAATACATAGAATATACAGACTTTCTATATCTATATCTATCAGACTTTCTATTCTATATCTTTTCCATGCCTGTACGGGGATGCTGAAAAAATCACTAATAGGAAAACAGGTACCACCTTAATCTATGGTCACTAACCAATACTATATTTATTTAGCTAACCTAGTAGAATCATGGCTAAGTGCATGGACTCTGGAGCCAGACTGTCTGGGTTCAAATCCTGGCTCCATCATTTACAATCTGAGAGATGTTGAGCAAGCCACTTAATCTCTATGCTTTAATTTTCCCATCTATAAAAGGAGATAAAAGTACCTACACCTCATAGGGTTGTGGTGAGAATTAAATGAGTTCAGTGCATGAAATATGCTTAGAATAGTGTTTGGCACACAGTAAACATTGTAAATGTATTATCTCTTATTATTTGCATGTTTCTCCAGTAAATTACAAAAGCAATTTCAACCATTTTCATTTTTCAAAATCAGAACCTGTGACTCCTGGCCCTCAAACCTCCTACTGCCGAGAGAAAATAGAATCATCTGAGAATTCTGTTACCTTTCCTTACTTTTACTTACCCTCACTTTCTTTCCTTTTGTAACAAGAGAGGCATTTCTTGTCTTCTCTAAGGCAAATCCTTCTATCTGTGGTTCCAAACCTACCCATTCTTGTCACATCAAAAACCTTGCAACATTCCCCTTTATCAAGTGGATATTTCTTCATCTTTAATAAAGCCCTCCTCCATTCCACATGTCCAGATAGCAAGCCTACTATCTCCTTCATTCTCTAAAATGATAACATTATTTTATTTGCACTTTATTGGCTATTACTGACCAATTCTTACTAATGGACG